AATATAAAATATAAAATATAAAATATAAAATATAAAATATAAAATATTAAATATAAAATAACAAATATAAAACATAAAATATAAAATATAAAATATTAAATACAAAATACAAAATATAAAGTATAAAATATAAAATATAAAATATTAAATATTAAATACAAAATGTAAATTATAAAATATAAAAGATCAAAAAACAAAATTCAAAATACATGCAATAAAAGATCAAAGATAAAAAATTTAAGACTAAATTTAAAAAATATAAAAATGTTAAGCGATATAAGATAAAAAATAAATTATATAATGTAAAAGTGAACAATATAAAATATAAAATATAAAATATAAAATATAAAAGACAAAAGATAACAGATAAACGATAAAAAATAGGAGATAAAATATAAATCATAAAAGATCAAAGATAAAAGGGGAAATACGAAATATGAAAGATAAAAAATACAAAACCCAAAAATATCGTATGGTAATAGCAAAGTGCTCCCCAAAAAGTTCCACACTAGTCCCTAACTCGTCCAGAACAGGGACCGAAATGGTGCCGAAGTTTACCGAAAAAGTCTTGAATTAGTCCCGAAATAATCCCGAAAAAGGCCAAACCAGTCCATAATTGAGGTCGATAAAGTTCCGAACTATATCAACGTTGTTGCTAGAACAGTATTTTTTTTTTTTTGTACTCATTCGGAATTCCTCTTGCTTTACATATGAAGGTGCAAGCAAATTTTGCCAATACCGGGAGCAAACATGCTTACACATCAATAAAAAAAATAAAAGGTAAAAGCAAAAAGTTAAGCGATAAAATATAAAGGGTAAGAGTAAAAACTAAAAAGGGGCGAAAAATGCTAAAGTTAAAAACAAAAAAAAAAAACTGCATCTACTAACTAGTAATAAAAAATTTTCCAAACAAACAGTAATCATATGCTGGTGAAATGCCAACAGACCTTCACATTCGCATTTTCTGCTTCAAAGAAGTCATATTTATTGCCAAATAGGATAACATCACGTCCACTTCATGCATGCATACTTACATACATACATATGTACATACAAACAAATGTCAACACAATAACACGCAAAGCGAATTTATTTATTATATTGATAGACGAGCCGAAATTTACAATATGAGAACATCGCAATATCACATATGTATGACAGCAAAGGCTGGCTGGCGGCCCTGAAGGCAGCTATGGAAATGTTCACTCAACTACAAACTAAGTAACTAAAGCAACAACTATTCAAAAGCTTTCATACATACATATTATAGTGTTGAACATATGTTGATATATATGTATGCATGTATACAACGCGAGCGACATGAACAAAAATATATACCACTGATAGATATGTATGTACTCTTTGCCTACATTTGGGCGAAAATACACGAAAATGAGTAGCTTCAAAATGGACTGGCACAATAAGTGAGAGTAGTAGACAAAAGGAAGCATATTAAAGGCGCATTACAGTACGACGAACAAAACAAAAAAAAAAAAAACCTGGTCGACAATAAATTTTGAACTAACGCTTACTAGTAAATTCACATAAGCCTGTTATTGTGTGGCATATATGTAGCTGCCGGGCAACCGAGCACATAATAATAATAATATTGCGTTCATGGGCAAACGAAGGATATGCTATGCAGCGCCATGTGCGATGCTTAGTTTTTATTCTTTCGCATTTCATTGCAAGCATATGTAAACACATTATTTAGTTAAAGCCAAAATAAATAAGACTAAAAGCAGGTTTTGGATTTCGTAGTTGTAGGTTGGATGGAGTGTTTTGGTGCAGAAATTTTTTGTTTTTTTAATATTCTCCACTACAATAGCTTTTATTTGACATTGAAAAAGCTACTCGGTTTTGCATATTTACGCGAAAAAAAAACTCAATAAATGCAAATGTACATATGTATGCATATATAAAGTACATTCATATGTAAATACAACTCTGTATACCAATTTCTGTGTGACTTCGAATATATGTAGACATCTGTGCTGGTTTCGATACATTTTTGCATATTTATAGCATTTTTTAATCACCTGGCATGTGTGTGTTTGCATATCAATAGATAGATATCTGTGTATGTATGTTTGCATATAAATTGAAAATAATTTTTTAGATTTTCGATTTTACTTATTTACTTTCATCTTATGTTATTCGTACTTTTATTTATTTGGGATCCATTATTTGCCAATTCGTTTTGATATTATTTTTTTGGAAAACAGATCTTATTTAATTCTTAACACACTCACACCACACCATTTACATACATATTTACTCGCTGCTAACCTTCCTATAAATAAACCAATCGTCGCATAGCTGTTAGTCCCAGTGTAACGTTTAGTGTAAACCACAATAAAAATATCTACATAAATATTTAAACATATCCATACAAAGTAATAATTGGAAATGAAGCGAGTTGGATTTTCTGTATAGTAAGTTAGTAAAGTTAAGCTTAAAAAAATATTACACATCCCTTAGCATATTGTAAATATGCAAATTATAAAAAAAAAAATATTAAAGCATTTACATATAAATTTACAAAAAGCTTTTTCCTGCTTTTGTGACTAACTTCTCGCATTTCTCTCATCCCCGCCGCCTACTGTTTACTCATACAGGAACAAATTGCACGCGAGAAACAAGTAAGTGGGCGTGTACAGTTACAAGTTTGGTATAATGCCGATCGCAATGAGTTGGTTGTTTCGCTAATGGCCGCCGATGATTTGGCGTTGCGCGATGAAGCCTATGGACATGGTAATCTACCGGAGGCGTACGCCAAAGTGCGCATTCTACCCAAATGGTAAGCTCAGTTTCTCGCATTTATATACTTCTTACACTCAAACTGAATAATCACTCAACTTTTCACGCTCATCAAGATATTTTTATCATCGGTCAACTGTGGATATTTTGAAATTTTGTTATAGTTTTTGTTGCTTTTCTAACCCAGCAATGCTCAAAAACGCAACTCAATAAAAAACTCACTCAATAAAAAACGCTCTCAATAAAAAACTCACTCAATAAAAAGAACTCACTCACTAAAAAATTAAATCAGAACCGATTTCGGTCTTTCAAAAAAGCCATTAATTGCCATTCAGCGGACAAATCGATTATTAACATACTTCCTAAGTGCGCCATTTATTCACCAATGACCGACTCATTTTTATTATTCTGTTTTCCTTTTTTCCTTAATAAAAATAACTCAAACCTCACTCATTTCCAGTTTAACATATATGACATTTCTCTGAAATCAACTAACAACAAAACTATCCATTTTTGGCATCCTTTTATTTTTTAATTTACTACAAATTTATTTACTCAAGCACTACTCAAAAACTCATTCACTCAATACACACTCATTTCCAGTTTCACTCCATCAAATATGTAATTTGTGAACCTTCGAACAACTATAGGGCAATCATTTATTGGCATTTCTCAATGCTATCAATTCATGTACTCAAGCACTTTTTAAAAACTCACTAAACAAAAACTCTCAAAATTTGCCAATTTTCAGTTACACTTGTCTAACTGTGAACTTCGAAGCTACCCATTATTGGTATACTTCTTTCTGTCTTTTTTTCCTTAATAATAATAATAGATTGGCGCGTACACATATGTTAGTGTTTGGCCGAGCTTCTCCTCCGATTTGTGGCGTGCGCCTTGATGTTGCCACACAAAGCGGAGGGACCTACAGTTTTACGCCGACTCAGAACGGCGATTGTATTTTTATGAGAAGCTGTTTTTCATGGCAGAAATACACTCGGAGGTTTGCCATTGCCTGCCGAGGGACGACCGCTGTTAAGAAAAAACCTTTTTTACCTTACTTTAACCTTACTTAATAGAAAAAACTCAAAGCTCACTCATTTCTGGTTTCATCCATTCAATTATCATCCATCGCTTAACTGTGAACTATCAATTAGTCCACATTTTTTATTTCCTTTGCTTTATTCTTCATTTCCTTACACGAGCACTGCTCAAGACCTCAGACAATGAAAACCCCAGTTTTTTCAATTTCAATCACTTCATCTGTTTTTTGGGTTTTTTTTACTCAATTAAAGACCTATAACCCCTTCGTCAACTCACTCATTCCTGGTTCAGGTTTCACTCAGTAGTATAACATTTTATTTACTCCTAAGCAGAGTATTTACATATATGCCTAGTCCAAAAAAAAAAACTAACCAAAAAAAAAACTCACTCTATAAAATACTCACTCAAAAAAGACTCAATTACCAAAAATGGATGACTCAAATCACCTACTTTTTTACTAATCACCCCACATCCACACCCTTCTCATTTTACATTTAGAATTTATTAATTATCATGGATTTCTCTTTCACTCCTCCAACAGCGGCGATGGCAGCGTTCAACAAACCGAAGTTTCACATCCCACACAAAATCCCATTTGGAATGCGACGCTCAGCTTTCAGCACGTGAACGCTGACAGCCTCATGGATCGCTACATAGACATACAGTTGTGGGATTTAGTGCCGCATACAGAGTCCATATTTCTGGGCGAATGTAATATTGAGCTGCAGCAGGCCTTTATCGACGATCGTGCCATATGGTGTCGACTAGACGATCCGAAGGGGCTGCGCGGCATCAGCATGTCCAAATCGCCGAGCGTCTCACCGCGCGGTTCCATTGCCGCCGGCTGTCCGGGCGGTGATGTAACGCGTCTATTGCGACGCGATTACAATATGCAACGTTCCATATCGGACGATGTCGATTCGATCGGCGATGGTACATCACTACTGCATCCCGATACCGCTTGGGTGGCTGGCTCGCGGCGTGGTTCCTCGCAGTCGGAGACGCTCGAGGTTGAGGTGTATCAATTGGGTAAAGATTTTTCGCGGTCGTTGCCGGGTTCGCGACGGTCGTCGTTTCAAGATCCCGATAAGATACGCGAAGAAGATGCAATGGCCACGCCACCAGCCTCATATTATGTGGGTAGACGTCGTTCGTCGGTGGCGCGTCGTGATCCTGATGAGATATTGAAATCGTTGAAAGCGGTGCGCGGTGAGCTGGGACGCGCAATGAGTTTGGGCACAGAGCAACAAAAACGAGCGGGATCGAGACGTAAGTGTTTTTTTTTTTGGAATTTGGGGATTACATAATATGTATGTATGTCTATGTGTGTGACGTAAATTTAAGTGAGCGAATTGAGAGCGGTACTGAGCTTTATTCAAGCACTGCATGTGAAGCTTTTCGAAAGTGCATATATTAATGCAGAAACGACCAGAATAAAGCTCGCATGTAAAGCTTCTTAAAGCTTTTTACACATTTTATATGAGCGCATAGTCAAATTATTTTTTTTTAATATATGCCAGCGACAACAAATAACAGTTACACAGTATCTTGTGCGCTCCCAAATAAAATCTACAGAGAGCTTTCAAAAGCTTCTACGGTGCGAACGGTTTTACCCTGACTGATTGCACGCAGAAAAGCTTTTTAACTAAGAATGCTCGGCACATATTTAAGTTTCAAGGAGTATAAAGCTTTCTCTTAGCTTTTTAAAGCACAAAAAAGTTCTATCGCGCCAACTGCGTTTTCAAAACAACTGAATCCGTTAAAGCACTGCCTGTAATTTTTTTTTATTTTTTTGTTTCATTGGAGTTTTAGAAATTTCAACAAAAAAAAAAAATACAGCTAAAAAGTGCGCTCTCAATTCCCTCAGAGCTTATGTGTGTAAGCGAAGAGAAAAGCTTACTAATTTTAGTGATTTCGATGTGATGATCGAAAAATAGTTTTGTCTTACAAAATTTTTAACTTTGACTAAAATTTTTCTTATCGCATTTCTTTCTCTTTTGATTTTCTTAAAACTCTAATATTTACCCTCGAATTTTACTTTCATTCTAACTATCGTATGTTTTCCGATTTTACGCTTAACGCTAATATCTCTCCACTAACCGTTTTATGCTTTTATTTTCTCTCTCTCTCTCTCTTTGCCTCTAACATTTCTCTATCACTCTTGCTCGCTTGCCTTCACTCACTATTCACAACTATGCGCTCACTACCTAACACACGCTCTCTCCTAACTGTTATCCTGCTCTTTCTTATTTGCCAATTTTATTGCCAATTTTTCCCTAACTTTATATAGCATCAATATCGGTGTCGCATTATCAAAGCTTAGACACGCCCTACACTTGGACACGCACGAAATGAATGCGTATATCTTAAACAAAAAAAAAAGAACAAAGTAAACTGCTACTTTACTTAATAAAACAACAAGCTCTATAAATAATTAATTAAATAAATAACTAAACGAGTGCTAAATAAAAAAAATTGTAAAAAGTAAAGCAACAAATTTTAAATCACAAATCTTCCATCTAAACTAAGAATGACTTACCTGAATGTACGAAGTAAATATGTAGTTTGTGGAACGAAAAAGTGTTTACTTTGCTGCACCAGAAATTATTATTTTGCTGCAATTTCGTCTGTGTTGTAAATCACTAGAATCACACCAACACCACACCACGAAACACACACACACAGTACCTAACATATTTATGCCCATTCACACAGATCATAAATTGAACGACATGCATTTTGTCTAGTGGAAGCGATAACTAAACAAACAACACTAACAGACAATGTATGCACATCTAATCGATAGCAGATAAATAGCTGAAAAAAAGATCTAAATTAATTTTCAATTAGCGCGCAATTTTTCAAAAGCCAAAAAATATTGTGAACTCCACCTAAACATTTAACACAGAAAACCATAATACCATAATAAACAGTTACTACATAGGATCTTCATTCTCAGAGCACTCAACAACAACAATTATTGAAAAATGGTAAGAGTACGTTTTTTTTAATTATTTTTGATAAAAAGTTGTGTTCATTTGTGCTGTTCCGTTGCAAAATATTTGTTGCTGTTTCAACAGTTTTCGAACGAAGATTTGCATTGTTAAAATTCGAGTTTTTTTCTTACAAAGTATACTCCTAAAATTCAATGTACAGATTCCAAAAAAACACAGACAGTTGCGCTTTACATAAATAATGAAGTTTTTAATTTAAGCTTTAGTTCTTCAATACATACATATGTACAAGAATATATGCCTATACATACATACATTAGGATGGTACTTAAAATATCAACATCTAAATTTTATAAAAGTACAAAGACGGAAATTTCAAAATTTTAAGCTAATTTTTATGAGTCTCTATCAAGATTTGAAAATTTAAATTTTTCAATTTAACAAAATTTTTACTTAAAATCTGATAAATTCGACATATTATTAAAACTTATTCTTCGCTGAGTTGCAATTGGTCAAAGTCAATACTTTATTGAATTCTTGCGATGAAATTTTTTAAACTCAATGCTTTCAAACCCCGTAGCAACCCTGCATTTTTTTTTTAATTTTGAAGTTTTCGTGGGTACCTTTATTTTTTAGCACAGGCTTTTCCATACAACACCAGGGTAGATACTCAATGCATTGGTCGATATGCCGCCCCAATATTCATTCATTCCCAGAGCCACCCTCCGACATATATTTCCGAGTCTGAGGTCTATTTGACTCGTCCACCCTGAAAATCTGGAGTGTTGAGGTATGCGCGTTTTACTTTACATCTGATTTGGGTACCAGGAAATTGGTTCATACCACGAAACGAGCTTGCAAGATGTAATACTTCTGCACCACTTTCACCGGCCTGGAAGTGGTTATGCATGGCGATCGCTTCCTGCAAGCTCATGATTAGGGAACACTCAAATTCAAGCACTCAGTTAAACTCATATGGCCAGAGTGAAACGAGAAAATCGCAAGAGCTTCTATCTTTAAAAAAGAGAGAAATTTGGTTAGTTATGAAATTGGGTACCGGCCACATACTTTTAGGGAGATACGCAGAGCGCTTACGAGTGCCTCGCAACAACATCCGCAAAAGCTGCTATGTTGAAGAAGAATCGGAAAGTATCAGGCACTTACTATATGAATACCCCGAACAGGATTTTTAAACGATCTAAACACAGCGGCAAGGTTGAACATATAACAGCTCCTCAGATTTGCTGATACACTGGTCCAAAAACGATATTTCAAGATCTCTGTGTTATTAAAGACCAAATTTTAAAGGCCTAGGTGTGCTAGCAAGCTAACCAGCAGACACTTGAACCTAACTTACCTAGCCTAGGCAGTAAATTTACTAAGTAGGTTTCATGTCGGAATACGGACAGGGTCCAGGTAAATTACTCTTTGATTCATGGGTGCTGAACCCTCACTCGAACTACTGATACTTTTTTAGCTAAACTCCCTTGGGAAGCTATAATATGACTCCAGATCCTTTGCACTGCCAAAGTCGACATGAATCCACTTACTTTAACAAAAATTTAAAAGTCGAAAAATCATGAAAAGAATATACAAATATACAAAATTTTTATTAAATCTCATAAAATCAAAAATTTTGGAATAAATACAAAAACACGTGGGAAATAAATTGCTACATACCCGTATAACATACATACAGTGATTCAAACAAGTGAACTTGCATTGATTTTATTTTTTTTTATATTCGTAATCTTTTTCGAGATAATTTTTTTGGTTATTTTTCAATAAAAATATAGTCTAGCTTTAAACAAAACCATATAAATTACAATTTTAAACTTTACACAAAATTTAGGAAAATTCTAAAAATTTTCATGAAAATTTCAACTCTTTAATAAGAATTTTTGGAACACTTTTGCATATGCAGTTTTATAGCCAATACAGTTTTAGACCAATGAAGTACATGTTTCAAACAGCTTAAAATCGCTTTGACTTTAGATAATTTTTTTTTGTTTTTTTTTTTTGACAAGTGCAATTTACTAAGACTGCCGTCGATTTTTTGAAATTTTGTTACAAACGCATTCATTAGAAATTCATGCTTATCTCGAAAAAAAGTGGAAAAAGCGGCCACCAAAACAAAAAATCTCAAAAATTAGCGGGATTTTTTAGCCGTTTGAAACTTGCACTTTATTGGAATAAAATTATATGTGCTATGAAAATGCATACCCAAAAATGCGAATCAGATTAACAAGTTAAAGTTTTTATGAAAAATTTGTTGAATTCTCCTAAATTTTTTATAAGACTTTAAACTGTGACTTATATGGTTTTGGTTAAAGCTTGGACAAATTTTTTTTCTTTTAGAAATACAAAAATTTATCTCGAAAAACATTACGAATATTAAAAAAAAAATCAACACGTGGTCACTTGGTTGAGTCACTGTAACTACATATATTGCATGTCTTTTAAAAGCTCAGAACTCACAATTTTTAGTATACATTTTCACACATATAAATATGTATATATGCTTGTAGTATGCATATAACTATCTATGTAGATATGGATGTGCATTTGTACGAAAATTTAAATATTTGCACTTCTCATTTTTGTTAACTCCTTGCATGTGTGTAATCAATGGAAGTTAAGTTGAGGATAAAGGATGTAATCCCTACACCGTGTTGCATCACAGCTATTATAAAATGAACACATGAGTGAATCAATATTGAAAAATTACACATACAAACATAGTACATACATATGTATGCATGTAAAAGTATTTGAGTCGCGGAGAAATGTCTTTATGTATTTAGCAATAATAAATAAGCGGCATAAAACTGGTCAAGTGCAAAATCAATAGCTGATAAGGCATTCTTATAAGTCTTATAAGACGTGCAGTCACTTAAGAAACAAAGGCAAAACTTCATCATTTAGGTTCAAAGGAAAGAGAATCTGACTCTACAAATAGTTTGTCATAATCTAAAGTATTGCGCTGCATACATACATACATACATACATATTTTAACTCAAAAGCTCAGCTTTTGTCATTGAATTAACAAAAGAGAAATTTCTCACCAACTAACGCTTGCATGTGTATGTGTGTGAATTTTCACCGACAACAAAGTATTTATTTTGTAATAATGCCATAATCGATTGAAAGCGGATAGAAACCTGGTGAACCTTGAAATTAATTTTTGTGAAAGTTATGCTTTTGTCAACAAACTATGCAATACTTGCAAAGCAAACAGTCGAAGCATGAACAGGCGGAATAGTGAATATTTGTATGTACATTAGGTTGATCCAAAATAAGTAAAGTTGGATTTTTGATGTTCTCACCCCTTAGGATTGTTCTATATCGAAAAAAAATATACCCCAATTTTTTATTTTGAAATAAAAAAAATTATTTAGAGGTCGTTAAAGCGCTCAAAGTTTTCCATGTATTT